ACTTTTCAAATGTACAATAGTAATGTTTTATTTTGCATGATTTTTTTCCATTTTGACTTACTTTTTTCTAATGTACATTTGTAGTGTTTTTTATATTTTATTTTTGAATTCGAATATTTATACCAATTTATTTAATTGACTTGATTTCTTGAGAACTGAAATTGATGGCGGGTGACATGGAAGTGTAGTAGCGAATTATGTGGTGGCGAAACGGAATAGATGATATCGAAATAATTTAACGCGGTCACACCAAAGTTAAAAGATAATTACTTTTTCTAAATCGCTGAAAAATCATGAAAAAGAAATTTCATTGCAAAAATCAAAAAAACATTTTCAATGGAATCGAATTTTAAAGTAATAGTACATTCTATTGACAAACTTTGTAAGGAAGGATCTTAAAACATTTGCTGTAAAAAATCAACGAAAAAGTTGAAGACTTTTTCAATTTGTTATTCTTTTTTTTTGTCAATTTTTTTTTTCAATTTGTATTATCATATTGAATTCAGTGGATTTTTTGTGAACAAAATAAAGAATAATTTTTCACTAAAAAATTAAATAAGTGCGAAATAGGATGTTAACTGACATCTACCTTTCAACTCCAGGGCCTACATCGTGGGTTAGCTGGAAGATGCGAACACATTTAAACAAACAAAAATGACGAAAAAGCTTAGTGGGGCTCATTTCAAAGCGTGACAATGATCCGTCCAATGAGAGCTCAAAATGCAAAATTCTTTGGGAGAATAATAAGTAATATACCAATATTGAAATAAAAGGTGCAAAATAGTAGAGCGAATGGGACTTTTAGTAATAAAAGGTTTTATATCCTTCCAGAAATTCTTCCCAAACATTCAAAATACCTAAAATCACTTTTGCAGGTCTTTATATCGATCATAACTCACGGATTTGTTCCCTTATCCGATTTCATATTTATATAACCATCTATGATTTAAGTTTTTTTTGGGGTCTTGGCCGGCCACTTTTTTCATTTTTTGGCCCTTATTGGACATTTTTGTTTCTAAGGGGGTAAATAACCTCTTCGCATAAAATTTGAAATTTTCAGAGTAGGGCCCATATTGGTATTGACCACATTCATCAATTGATTTGGCTAAAAAATTTTATTTATGCCACCCTGGGGTAGGGAACCATCATACAGATAATTGCCACATAGGAATTTATTTAAGTAAAGTCCCCACATTGGAGTATCCCCAAGTCCACTTTCACATCTAATGTGTGGTTAGAAAAGAAAATTTTGTATTCTATTGAATTTTTAACCCCCAAGAGAATATTGGTTGGGAACGTAGATTTGGGATGTGCATCCATATGAAATAAATTGTGGAAACATGAACAAATTACAAATATAAGAAAGTAGCACGGGACCGAATATTTGTTTAATCATCATTGAATTATCCTATGATGAAAATATGGACTTTATGCCATGTTTACGTTAGAACTTTTTGTAGGGTTAACCTACTTTGATAGGATTTATTTGAAGTAAAAGTAATGGATATGACAATTTAAATCCAAATCCAGTGGGTTAACCCTCATATATATAAACGTACTTTTAAGGGGTCTCCAACTTACAATTTAAATGGCAAATAAAATTAATTCCCATCTTATCATTCTACCCGCAATTATGAGGTGGATAAAACTATTTTTACTTATTTAAACCACGCGAAATGCTATGACATGCTATATTGTTCTGCTATATTTTTGATTTGGCCTCTATTTGTCATCTTGGATTATAAGGGGTAGAAGAAAGTTTTCAATGTAGGTCGATGTTTCGGAGTAGTGCCCATATAAGGTGGTACCTCCTAATTTAACCACATTTCAAAGAATTTGGCTAATAATGCGTATTAGGGGGGTGAAAATCTTACACTAAAATTTCAACATATCTACAAATTTTAGAATTTTTATCCATGTTATAATACCCTCTCAAGCCCACCTTTTGGCGGACAAACAGACTGACATGGTTAGGGGGACTTATGAGGACTCTAATGCACAATCTAAGTTGCTAATGGGTTTAAAAAAGTAATTAACTTTGGCTATTCTTAAATCATTCAGCCCTCAATTATGTAGTATACAAAACACAGCAAATTCCAAATTACTGCTCATTTGACTGGAAGATTTTGCTACGATTTTTACCATATTAAAAATTAATTTGATCCCTTATATGGCGATAAGATTGATATATACTTTTTAATAGATTTTTATAGCACATCCACACAGTTGAAGCCCACGGTTTAAATATTGAAGCCCACTGGTTAAAAATGGGTACAGGGTATATCAGTCATATCAGTCATATCTGTGAATAATTATGCTTGGGAATATATGCATAATAGACAAAAACTACGGGCCGGCAACGCGGACCGGGCCAGCTAGTATATACATATATCGGAGCCAAATTCCACCCAATGAACACATACGTCCCGAAATTCACACCATTTGGGCTGTTATTATCCATTATTTGCACAATAAACCTGAATTCGGAAAAATTATGGAATCTACAGGATGAGATAAAAAACTGCAACAATGTCAAACGCCACAATTTAAACATTTCATTTTTATACCCTACACCACAAGGTGGTCAGGGTATTATGTCTTTGTGCATTTGTTTGTAACAGGCAAAAGGAAACGAGATAGACCCATAGTTCCTTTTGATGATCTGCATAGAATCACTTTTTGAGTTGATTTATGCATGTCAGTCCGTCTGTCCGTCCGTCCGTCCGTCCGTCCGTCCGTCCGTCCGTCCGTCCATGTATTCTTGTGAACAAAATGCAGGTCGCATTAATTATCCGATTGAGATGAAATTTTCCAGACAATATTTGTTTGGCCCAAGGACGAACCCTATTGAAATTGGAGATAATCGGTATAAATTTAGATATAGCTCCCATATATATCTTCGTCCGATTTGCCTTTTATTGTGCACCAAACGTGTAATATCAGCCCGAATAGTTTGGAATTTTGCACATACAACCAAATTAGGCATGAAAATAAGTGTGCCAAATTTGATCGAAATCGGTTCAGATATAGCTATAGCTCCCATATATATTGTTCATCCGATTTGTTGTATTTGTTACCCACAGCCGTAATATGCACTCCGTAACAACGACATTCAGGGAAATAAATCAAATACAGCTCAGAAATATCTTTACTAAATGTTATTGAGATCGGTTCAGATTTGGATATATCTCCCATATATATCTTTATCTGATTTCATATTAATTTTGCACCAAATGGGCAATACAAGTCCGAATTTAAGAGATTCAAATGCTTCGGCATATTTAGTCCTTTGAATTTTAAATTATAATTATAATCATAGCGCGTATGACTGAATTCTCCCATAAAAAGCTTTTAATTGTTATGCGCAGCTCTACTAAATCAGTAAAGTGGTGTAGGGTATCATAAAATCGGCCCCGCCCGACTTTAGGAGTTTCTTTACTGGTTTGATTTTGATTTAGATTTGTTCGAATTGGTCACCTTTGGCACGGATTATGGCCTTCAAACGGCCAATCCGGACATTTTGATGGCCATTGTGCGCTGGGTGTCGCGTACTGAGTGCGATGGTGCTGAGTCCTGTTGGAATGTCCAAAGTCTGCGGGCAAAATTTTTGCGTGCCCAAGGCTTTAATTACCCTCCAGAATATTTTCGCGATATTAATCGGCATTGATTCTGATGCCACGGTCGATTAATACGAGCGGAGAGCGACCATCGGCTGTAATGGCTGCCCACACCATCACCATGGCCGCCGCTTGAGTTCTGGTGGCCAACCGAAAACGCACATTTTCAGCTGAGCTCTTTGGGAAGTAAACACGATAATTTTGTTTGTTTACAAACTGCTGGACAACAAATGTTTTCTAATCGAAAAAAACCAAATTCGACAGTTCACCACTTTCGTCAAAGCGAACAACTCTTTAGCTCTTTTGAGTCTATTTTCTACAATGGCTTTATCCCGAGCTCATTTTTCTATATTTGCTGAATGGAATATTACAATATGTTCAACTCACGAGCCATTTTTCGGCCACTGCGACGCAGGTTTCGATCAAGTTGTTTCTCTACTTTTCGAACCATTTCTGCTGACCAGTGTCACGATAACAAGCAATGGTACGAGACACAAAAGATTTATTCACATTTAAATGCTGGAGTGCTCGAACGATAGCCACTTGTGGGTTATCAGTCAAATATAAAAAAATCAACTATCACGCTTGAAAATGCTTTTGTGCGCTTGTAAACAATATAATGAGCTTTCACTGGAATAATTCTAACAGATTTCGGACGAGTGGCTGAAGTTGGTTGCAGTTTTTTGTCTTACCCTGTACATGTTTCATCTGATTTGATATTTTTGTCCCTCACCCGTAATGTGCACTTCATAACAATGTTATTCCAATAAAGATATCAGATAGAGCCTAGAAATACCTTTGCCAAAATTTGGCTACATCGGTGCTAATAGATAAATAGCTCCCACATATATTTCCCCCTTATTTTAGGTAAATGATAAAACAACCACACTATTGCATATTGAGTGTTATGGGAGTTTTATGAGAGAAATACCATATTTTAAACTCCTTTAACTTCTTTTACGTGAAAATTTAAAAATTTCATTAAATATGAGTAAACAAAGTTGTCAGTATCGACATGTATTATTGTGTGACGACTTTATCAAACCATGGACATATATTCATATATTTCTCCCAGAAGGCTGGGCGCAGCGAACATAGACTTAAATTAATGTAGCTAATTCCCTTACGGGGGATATACGAAATTAAGGACCTATATAGGTTAATTTCTTGACACAGAACCATTTAATAGCTTGGGACCGATTTAGCACATCTTTGAACTTGATCTTCCAGCAGGCAAAAGGATGATTTGTGCTAAATTCAGGTCTAAGTCGATTTAACGCTAGCGTGATTAAAATTGACAAACGGGAACGCCAAATCAACGTAGACTTTCATTTAGAATAATTTCAGAATGTATTATATGTTGGCTCTAAAATATCACTAACAGCATAAAACTATTCTTTACTTTAAGATTTGTGATACTCGTAGAAGTTCTCCCCCTAAATCATTCAGCGGTCTAAAAAGTAGCCTATGACCCATGTGAAAATTAATTTTAATTTTTATTTTAACTTCAACATATTTTAAATCGTGTAACTTATTAAGACTCCACCGGAGACGTTGTCCATGTGCTTGGCCTTCATAAGGACCGAAGAGTTGACTACTAGGGTTGCACTGGTAATACCACCACGGGCCTTTGAAGGTCTCGGCGCAATTAGTTTTAGGAGAATTGTCATTGTCTCGATCGCGAGTTGTGAATTTCTCTCCCTCATGATGTCTCAGTGAATCGTCGGCATTGCCGCTATGTACACCCAACACCTTCAGTTCGTATTGTTCTTTTTCGCTGCCAATGACAATGTCATCATATCTGGCAAAGGTTTGGACTCCATTAAAATCTTTTAATGTGATAACCATTTCGTGAGGTGAACCATTTGAGGTGAGGTTGTGAAGAGCTTCCATTCCGATGAAGAACTCAGAATTTAGATTGCCAAAGCCTGCCTTATAATCTGCCCAGTTTCTGTTGAAATTAACAGAACCATCCTGTCGGCGCAAAACAATAGTCCAATCGGATTTCTTGTCTAAGGAACCATTTTCCCAAAGATTTTTCAGTTGAGTCTCTTGCCTAACAATAGATAGAAGAAAATATAACATTTTTATTTTATTAATTTTTATCTCAAAAAAATACCTTTTCTGATACTCGAGAGTATTATTTTCCAGTCTATTTAGGTTTACTTTATGTTCATTTAAGGTCTTCGCAATTTCATTTTTAAAAGCTAACACTTCATTAGCTGATTTGCTAAGCAATTTATTGATATCTGCAATTCTAAAAATATACGAATATTAAAGATAATATTATTTTGCTATTGTAATAAATATTCTTGTGTATTTAAATATTTCGACCATAACGATTAAAAATACCTGTTGTTTAAGTCTTTTTTGCAAGCGTCGTTATATTCTTTCACTGTTTTGGAAATATCGGTTTTAAATGTTGAATAGTCCTTGACTGATACATCCAGGCGGGATTTAAGTTCGCTAATACTAAAGAAAGAAATGAAAAAAAAAACATTTTAAATAAAAATATATAGGACTAAGAGAAAGGCTGTTGCGACTATTTTTTGGTGTAATATAAATCTTACATACATCAGGTGTAGCATACATACATCTATCACTTAACTTGGTTTAAATGAAAACGTTATATTAGCACGATAACTAAACAAATGCCATAAAAGGAGAATTTTATCTTATAATTTTTCAGCTTCTCCCCAGCAAAACATGGATATATTTAATTCGTATTATTGAAACCTCGCTGATCGTAACGATGGTAGTTTCCTTTTGTAAATCTTCTGGCATAGTGACATTAGAGAGCTTAAAACCTGATGCTGGATTTTTGTTCTATTAACATACGAAATGAAATGCAAAATATTTAAGGGGTTGAAATTGACCCCAAAACTGAAAAATTTCCTGACTTAGCAGTCGTCTTCAGGTCCCAGAGAAGGACCAATCGACACAGAATTTCGCTTGAGGTTTAAGTTTAGAGCAGTACAGAACCTATCGATTTATGCATGTCAGTCCGTCCGTTCGTCCATGTATTCTTGTGAACAAAATGCAGGTCGCATTTATTTTCCGATAGAAATGAAATTTTGAAAACAAAATTGTTCGGCCCACGGACGAACCCTTATGAACTTGGTGATGATCGGATCAGATTTAGATATAGCTCCCATATATCTTCAACCGATTTCGGGTTAATTGTTCACCAAATGGCTAATATAAATCCAAATGACCTGAGTTTTGGTACGTCTGACCGGATTCAGTCAAGAAGCAAGTAAATTACAGAAAATCGATTCAGATATAGCTATAGCTCCCATATATATGTTTCATGTTTTTCAATTTCCTCCCATATAGATGTTTCAATCGATTTGGTGTTTAAATCTCCCACTTTCAGAATATGCACTCTACAATAAGGATATTTTGTACCAGATATCTCACAGAGCTCAGAAATGCCCAATATAAACCTTTTTTACAAGAGATCCTCGAAATAAGCATAGTGGTGTAGGGTATCATGTAGTCGTCCCAGCCCAATTTTAGACTTTTTAACTTGATTTCAGTTGCAAATATTAACTTGCAATACGCGGTGCGTGTCGGTACCCCTTTTGATTTTATGTTCACTCAAAATTTTATATACGAGTATTTAGTGATTAAAAAGAAACGGTATCTCTCGTTATTCTGTACTTTGATCATTTTAGCGACATTATTCATCGGAATTGTTTCCAATTTGGTATTTGATGTGGATGCTACAGCTTATGACAGGAGATTGTTTGTGCAGGTTCACGTCTTCGTATAACCCATATAGTATTTGATGATTTTATCTGCATTATTACCGATTTTTTTTAAGTTTCGCATTTGAATATTGTAATGGCATAAGACAAATGTTACCTATGCAGGTCCATTTCGTCGTATAGACCCTAATATAACAGCTACACTCGGTATTTTTAAGATTTGAATAGAATTTTTAACGGATTTTTATTGTTTTTGAGAATTGTAAAATTCGTTCCAAATGGTGGAGGGTATTCAGAGTTCGGTCCGGCCGAAATTGCTTTTTTACTTGTTTAACTTAAAAATTGTAAGACTTACTTTGATTTGAGATTGAAAAATATTAAGATTATATTTTTAAAATATGCTCACCTTTTTTGATCTTTGTTAGCCTTATTTTGCAAATGTTCCAATGTTGATTTTTGCTCTTTTAATGTTTTGGTAATTTCAGTTTTGAACTCCAAACATTCATTGCTTGAGTTACCGATCAATTTATTAATATCAGCAACCCTGGAATAAAAATAAAAGCAATTAATCACACGGGTTTCTTGATGCTGTAATGCCTCCCTGAGCTTGATATGCGTCCTCTGTGAAGACACTTCTTGGAAAGTGTCGCTAACCACGCCAATGTTTGAAAAATTAAAAAAAAACAAATGAAAATCGTATTGGGAGGCGAAGGTACACGATAATGCTAACTTAAGATATACACCAGGAAATACCATAATATTATCCCTATTCTGACATTCAGAGAAAACAAACAAAATTGTGAATAATAATTCCTCTAAAATGTGAAATCATTGTCCAACATACTTCAAACTACGGAAATACCATTATGTTATATGAAGCAAGGAGTACCCCACTACTTTCGATTCTACCACTCTAAAAGGAAAACATTTTAATAACAGTTTTTCTCCAAAATTATGTAATCCGTTTCATTTGTTTGTTCAAATCTCGCACCATCTAATATATTTAACAAATTCAGGTCTCCCGTGTAAATGTGATATTTCGGTGTATTCCTACAAATTGTCAAATCTTTCAAAAACATCATATACTTCATAGAGAAAATAAAAAATTACATATGTTAGAATATCTGTGTCAGGCTTATGTCGGGTGCTTCAATATCGACCCACTCATTATGTTACCTTCCCCACAAAGGGGAAAAATTAAAGCTGTTATAAAATGTGAAACAAATTTATGATTGTCTTCAAGCTTGCCACATTTTCTACCAATTATAGGTATAGAAGATGATATCCGCCCACTCTTTCTGGTACTTCTCCCACAAGGGATGTTGATAATTTCTAATAGACTTACGTTTTATTTAATTCCGTTCGGAAGGCATCGTTTTGTTCACCGATAGTTTTGGAAATATCACTTTTAAATATTGAGTTTTCTTTCCTTGTCAGATTCAAGCGGGCTTCCAGGTCGTCAATTCTGGTGGAAATTAGAAAATGTTAAAAATACTTATTTATTTTATTCCAATATGTCCTCAAAATGGTTTGGTAATTGACTTTTCTAAAAGTTTTATTTACCTTTTTTGATCCTGATGAGTTTCGATTTCCATTTTTTTCCAAAGCTTTTGTTTGGTTATTCAAAATATTCGAAGTCTCATTTTTAAAAGTTAGAATGTTGCTGTCAGATTTTTCAAGCAACCCGTTGATTTCGTTGACTCTGTAGGAAAATGAAAATGTAGTTACATTAGTCAATATAGTAAATACTGTGTATCAATCTTTACATAAAATCTTTTAGTTAGGCATTTCCATACCTTCTCATAGTTTTTGAAATATTATACCCGTTCATTCCCTAAACTTCTTAGAATCGGAGAAAATTTTCTTGTTAAAATACGAGCGAAACCTCAAAAATTATTTTTTTCTGAGACTAAAATAGAATATTTCCTATGGTATATTTCATAATACATTAGCTATATTAGTTCATTTATTAAAGTTCTATTCCAGGATTGGTTTACCCAAAAGTAGTTTCTTCAAAAGCTTGGACAGAGTATAATATTGGAAACAATGTGTTATTGTAAATACTTAATAACAATAGAAAATAACTTTCCTTAGACATCAATAAATTTGTGCCGATCGAAGATAATATATGTCCTCATCTTGGTAAAACCTTATGTATTGGTACTATTCAATTTTATAAATATGACAGATTCAACGGTCCTTTGATTTATCTTCGTCTGAAATGAGCTGTAAGTGACCTTATTTCCAAATATAAGTGATAACGAGTGAATTTACAGAGTAGATGGATCTAATATAATATAGAGAACTACAGCTATATAAGAACCGACATAGTTCTGACTTGGCAACATCTAGCCTACTTAATGTCTGTTTTGATTCCAGACACTATTTCCGTTAATAATGTTCTAACATATTGTTTGTCGCCTTTATGCAGCACATTCTATTCTTGGCGCCAGTAAAGAAAGGAAAAGTCGGGCTGTGTCGAATTTATGATACCCTACACCACTGTGCATATATAGTAGAGCTACATATAACAAATAAACGTTTTATTTAGAATTTATGAGAATTAAAACACACGAACTATGATCGCTGAAGCAGTTATAATTTAAAGCCGAAGGGAACTAATATGTGGCTGGCTTTTATCGTATTCTACTAAATTTAACGAAGGCATTTGTGTCTGTACCAATATATATTAAAATCCATCCTATTCGAGCTGATATTACTCTTTTTAGGTACAATAAACGTGAAATCGGATGAAGATAAATATGGGAGCTACAAAAACAAATCTGAACCGATCTCCAAAAAATTTAGCAGAGGTATTATTATATGTGTATTATGTATATTGGCACCAAACATCGTTGTTGTGGAAAGTATTTAACGGGTGTTAGGGAGTAAAATACTGAAAGTATGGAGGTACCGTTATATGAGGGCTATAACGTGGACCCCAAAAGTCCTGCAGACATAATATACATTTACAGACGGACGGACATCGCTAAATTGACAGAGAATTTTATGCTGACCAAGAATATATATATTTTGTGGGGTCTAAAATGTGTATTTCCATTGACAAACTTAATATACCCTCCATACTATGGTGGAGGGTATGAAAATGTTAAATGTCCGCCAAATAAATAAATATATATAGGGAAAATCAGGTTTTTGGCACCTTACGACACACCTCTTTAATTTTTGCTAATTTTTCGAATAAAAATTAGCTCTATTTTTCTGATTCCTTTTTGGTGCCTCGGCTTTCAATGTATGTAAAATCGCAATGTTTCAAAGCGTTGTTTTATTGTATATACATTGGGTAATAAAACAATATTCGTTCAGCGGAAGGATAAAACTAATTATCTCTCAAGTCAGACATTAGCTAAGTAATATGATTCACAAAATTAGCCCTTGTTAAAAAATAGTTCAATTGCGGGCCCTATTCTTCCATATTTCTGTCGAAATGCAATTCAAATCCATTAAGTGACCATTATTTGTATGAACGCGTTTCACACATAAAAATTTCAGCACTCGGGTTACAATTTGGTTGGATTTTCGTAATTCTTTAAATTATCTTTAACCGCTATATGGGCTAATGTAGAAAAACTAATCCGATATTAAATAAAGCATGAAAGGTAAACATGAGCCGATTTATACAGTTTCAAGCATTCTAGTAAATATCAATTGAAAAGATATGTACCTTTCATTCAATGCTGCAAATATTTTGCCCGATACTTCAAAGCGTTGTTCATTTTTCTGATTTTGTTCTAAAACTACTGTTTTAAAATTGTCAAATTGCTGCGAAATCAGATTGAATTTGTTATCCACTTCGCTAAACTTGTTCTCCACCTCAAGGTACCTAAGACAAAATCATTATTAAATTTTATAATACTAATTTCAAGCCCATACCTTTTATTTATATCTTCCATTTTGGCATCAATTTTGGACGTAACTTTGGACAAATCACCCAACTTTTTTAATATTAGCTGCACCACATAGACATGTTCTGTGCTGTCATTCAAATCCTGTAAATGTTTGATATTTTTACGAATTTTCATAATTTAATTGGATTAAAATTATTCTATTTATTCGCAGTTTTCTTACATAGTAATCTTTGTTTTTTTGTTCACAGTATATCAATTGAAATAATCCAAACACAAATAAAATTATGAATAATTTCATTTTTGTAAATGTTTTACTCTCAACCAATTAAACAATACTGATGTGAGTGAACAACATAAGGTTCGATCAAAAGTTCTTATCAGCAAAATATGAACGAAAACTCGTTGGAGGGTCAGTTGAGTTGCTTATATTTTGAATTATCTCTTAAAGGCGTTGGTATTTCCCCGCAGAGAAATCTTTGTGAAATATATGCACATCTATTTTTTTCGTTAGTTGGTAAGGGGATTTTTTTAATTTTCGGAGAAAAATATTTTTGTACCCTCCTCCATAGAAAGGAGGGTATATTAAAATTGTCATTCCGTTTGTAACATCCCTAAATATTCGTCGTAGACCTCATAAAGTATATATGTATATCCATAATCAGCATAAAATTCTAAGTCGATTTAACTGTCTATGTGTCTGTCCGTCAGCCTGTCTCCCTGTCCGTTCCCCCGCTGACATCATGATGCAGCCAACATTATTTAACGTACAAAAAATTCTATTATGTCTAGGATGGTTGGTATTGAAAATAAGATATATCAGTATAGGTTTTTGTATAGCCCCCATATAAAAGGTACCTCCCGATATTCGGTATTTTGATAATTTTTCGGTATTTATACCCTACAACACTATGTGTTGGGGGTATTATAAGTTTGATTGGGCAAAAAATTATGTAACACCTCGAAATATTGATTTCCCTATCTCGCCGAGATGAGTCGATCTAGCTATGTATGTCCGTTCGTCCGTCTGTCCAATGCAATTTGTAATCAAGCTACATGTGGCAATTATGAACCGATCCTCACGAACTTGCGTTTAGGAGTGGGCAGAAACATACCAACTAAACCGCGAATATTTTTAATCCCAACCAAATCTCGAATGCATTAAAAGATCACTTCTGACCATTACAGTGATGCTAATAGCCAAGAAATCGGATATATAGCAAAATAGGTACAATATATATGAAAAAGAATTGATCTTATTTATTCTGCTTATAAATCAAGAACCGCTGGGCCGATTTTCAAACGAGAAAATCGCGGAAAAATATACCAATAAAAAATGAATATCTTTTATCGATTTTTTTCAATTTTTGTCATATTTTTTATCAATTTCAATTTGACTTACAATTTTGAAATGTAAATTTTCTAAATTGTTACATACGTTTTGGGGGTATTATATGCATATCGCAATTATCGTTCGATTCTCACGAAATTTTGCAAGGGGGTAGGGTTAGGGTCAGAATTAAAGCCTATTGTTCTTAAGATGTACATTTAAAAGTACAAATGGAC